AACCTTTCTCACCAGTCAGGTGTTCTTAGAGTATAGGCTCTTTTTGTCGCTCTCCCCTCATGGTGCGCTGATATCTTTAGCACTAACAGGTTGCTGTCTATTTCCCAGATGCTGTTTGATTAAAAAAAGAAAAGAAAGTCCTCATTCATAGTTTTCTCATCTTCACCTTTTTACTCATTTCCCCCCCCCCCTGCTATTTTACAAGAGTTTTCTCTGTTATATATCTTTTTAAAATACAAATATATCTGTCCATGGAACTCGTTTTTCCCTTATTGTTTTAGAATTCCTAAATATTTGATGCTCTATGGCTCTCCCTGTTGTTTCTGTTAGGGGGAAAAAAAAAAAAAAAAACTTCATATTCTTGTCTTCGGCAGAGAGGCAGATATTTTGGTCCCCGCTCTGGCTCTCAAACTTGCTACACAACGATAATCAAATTACATCCTTCTCTCCCCTGTTAAGGGGCAATAAATGTAATTTTTCCTGGCCTAAGAAACTCAAGCATTCTATTCTCTGCATATTTCCATTTTAAGAGTTTTCCAGTAAACCTTTTCACGGTTCTGAACTGTTACACGAAACCAAAGAAGTTGCTTAAAAATGAAGCACAATGCCAGCCTTTTTCCTGCTCCTGCCAAGCTCTGTGCGAAACTCTCCACTCTACAGCCATTGGAGGGGTGGGCAGTGTCTCCATGGGTGTGTCCCGGGGATACGTGTGTGTGTGTGTGTGTGTGTGTGTGTTTCTCTTTAGAATGTCTGTAATTCACAGTGCAGGCTAGAGTGAAATGAGTGTCTGGTCTTTAAAAAACCTTTCTGCACCGCCAGACGTTTGCTACTGTAAAATACAAAGCGGTGGATGGAAGGAGCCGTTACGCAGCATCCAAAGCCTGGGACAGCATCTCTGCTTAATATTATAGAGCCCCTGAGTGGTGCAGACAGTTGATGCAATTGGCTGCTAACTGAAAGGTGACAGGTTTGAGGCTACTCAAGACATGTTGGTAGAAAGGCCTAGTAATCTTCCAAGAAACCAGCCATTGGAATCGACTTGATCAGTCTTGTGATAGCACCACACAGCTGACCGAGGCTGGAACCAAGTTTCCGCCTTTGGATCACGGGCAGTGCCCTGAGCAGAAGAAAACTTGCTGCAACTTGTTAGGGGTCTGTGGTGCTGGTTGTTGAGCAAGGAAGCAGTCACAGGAGAGTGCATGGGGCACGGGGGGCGTCGGAGCGGGAACTGATGAAAATAGAGGAGCATCTTAGAAGGTAGGAAAGGTCTTCCCAGGGAGTTGCCAAGCTGGGACCAAGAGCTCACAGGCGTAGACTGCCATTTTGTTGCATGTGTCCATCAATTTGCTGGAGTCCCCTGCAGTGGAGCTTAGCGCTTCTTTTACGTAATTCTTTTCTGATGTTCCCACAGCTTTGGGGAAATCAGATTTGGTTTAATGAAAGTCACTGTACGGCCACGTGTGTTGCATGTGTTAGAACGACTGTCACTTGTAGGTCCCATCACTGCCCTCCTAGGCTCTTCCC